CGCAATTTTTCGGGAGCCATCCAATGCATAACATCTGTTACGCCCTTCATATCACTGGTTGGACCAGATGCCATACGAGAATAATTAAATTTTGCAATTTTTGGTGTCAAATTCGCATCCATCTATTATAAATAGAAATAAAAATTCAAATGGAACTTATTAATATATATATATATATATATATATATATATATAAATTATTAGTAAAGTTATTAAATCTTACCAATATATGAGCACATCGAATATCATGATGAAGAATTTCACAAGAATGTAAAAATGTAAGGCCACGACAAATAGCAAGAGCTATTGGTACTTTTACATGCCATTCAATGTCATATTTACTATACAATTCCTTGAGAGAGCCATATTCTGCCCAATCAAGTACCATAACGTCTGAGTTTTCTATCTTCGAAAGACCGTAAAATTTGATAATGTAGGGTGATTCGTGTAATTTTCCTAATATAGCCAGATGTCCTTGAATTTTTGCAGCTTCTTTAGGGTCACTATTTTGAAGATCTATTGGTTTGCAATATTTCTATATATTTTTTTGATAATCTGAGGATTTTTCCCTCGACGATCCGTTGGTTTTGACTTCAAAGGATCATTCAATTCAGTTGATTTTATTTTTTTTGCTTTAATATTTTGATCACTATCTGAATGATCCAATTTTTCTTTCAATAATGAAACTTCATGGAGAACAATATTGATTTTTTGATTTTGATCAATTATGCCACCACCTATTTTTTCCAAAAACTAATAATAATGAAAAAGAATATTAAATGATTAGAAAAAAAGAATTTTCGTAATATTCTAAAATTAAATTGAGGTGTGAATTACTTTAGTCATATCTGCAATATCAGATTCGAGAGCAAATTGATCTATCATTCTTTGTTCTTCATTAGCAACGGCAATTGTAAAATGCGATTCAGTCATTACTTCATCAAAGTCATTAGTAAGTGAATCAAATCTATCTTTGACTGAACCGGAATGTACGAATTTTTGGTATCTGTTTAAGTTCGATACATCAATGATGAAATTTTTAATCCGTTTCATGATTTCAATAAAACGAATAAATGAATTATAATATTCTTTATTACGAAAATTTTGTTCATTTTCAGTTTGTCTTCTTTTTAAAGCTTTGGTGACTGCCTCAGCAGCATTTACACGATCCATAAGTGAATCGCAAATCTTCTTATTATACTGAACAGTTTCATAGATTTTAGTAATTTCCTCAATCACGAGAGTTACAGAATCAATGGAACAAAAAGTTTTACAACTTCTCCAACAGCACTCAATGTAATTTTGGCTATATCATGATTACTTCCTATAGTAGCTTGATCACGCATTTTTTTTAATAGAGATATTTCAAAATAGAATTAAAAAATGAAAGGTTTAAAAAAAAAACAAATTTGTGGTATTTTATTGCGTTTTGAAAACGCAGGACAAGAAAGAATTTGCACATTATCATTATTGCGTTGTAAGTTAACAATGAGATAAAAGCCATATTTCTTTGTTAAATAAATGTTACAAGAACGATAAACTATTTAATTATCCAAAAAAGAGTCATTATTTTACGTATGTAAATTTTCTCATTTATGGTGTCACATTGTAAATGAATGGGACGAATAAAAAAATTTATTCTTTGAAGAAGTAAATTTGTTATTATATTTTAAAATGGAAATTAGTAATTTTATTCCTTTCTTTAAATATTTTAGATGAGTGTTAATATATTCTGAATATGTAATTTAAACTTGTTAAACTAATTTTAGTATCGGGTTTTTCAGTTTTATTAGTTTTGAGCATCTTTAATATTTTCTCTATGTTAAAGGAAAAAAAAAGAATATTAAGTAAATGGAGAACAAAAATCAATAAAAAATAGCATGAATAAAGTCATTCACTTGGATTTCATAATTTATAACGAAAGTTTGTTAGCTTAAAAAACGCTATTATTAATAATTAATTAAAAATTTGCCTTGAACTATTAGTTGCAAAAAAAAAATTTAATTGGCTGTTGAGCAGTTGAATGAACTAGCCTTATTAAATATTTATAAATTGAAAATTTAAGAATTACTATATTAAATTCTTATTTATAAATATTCACGAATTTGGAGGCTGATCACCCACAATTTTACATACGTAGTTTAAAATTTCCCATTCTCATATCAGCAATTAAATAAATATTACCTGTTTATCTCCTCGCGATCTCATCTTGGGATTAAATATTTTATGTTTACATTTTATTCATCTTAAATAATATAATTATTCTTGAATTTTTTTTATTTAAGTCTATTTCTAGGGAGGTAAAACTCAAGCAAATAAATATTCAAAATTAAAACTTCTAAATTGAGAATAAGAAAATACACAAGCATGTTACTTTGAAACAGATGCTATTTTTATCATTTTAATAATTTTCAATGAATGAAACTATATTATACCTTTGATTCAGATGCCGCCTATTGACCAGAATTATAAAAAACTTAAACGGTGGATCCTTTAAATTCCCTAAATTTTAATCCGAGTCAAGAGGCACAACACATCTTTTTTTTAAATTAAATATCGGTATACACATCAATCCCTAACTTTTGTAAAGCTTCTTTAGCTTTAGGTTGATTATTGAGAGCTGCCAATCGTAAATATTTTTTGCCTAATTTTTCATCCTTTTTCCCAAGTTTACCGTGCAAATATATCTCTCCCAAGTTAAATTGTGCAGTGGGATTCTTATTATCTGCAGCTTTGGTTATATATTTCAAAAAGATATCAGGATCAAATTTTACTGGTGGATTATTAACTAATGAAAATGCATAACGTAATTGAGCATCCGCGATTTCATCATCAGCTGATTCTTTAAACAATTCACAAGCTTGTTTACGATCTTTCTCAACTCCAATTCCTTCCCACAAGTAATACCCTTTCCAATATTTTGCAGTTGCATTATTTAACTCTGCATGCGCTGAAAAACATCTGTAAGCTTTTGTATGTTCATTTTTCTTATGTGCTGCAATACCTTCTTCAAGAGTAATTATTTGTGGTATTTCATTAATATTAAAATCCATGTCCATGTCCGGTAAATCCAAACCACCTTCATCGCTAATAGAAACTGCACGAGAAAAAGATCCATCTAAATCTAATTCCTTATCAGGTAAAAGTTGATAAGAAAATTCTTTGTCGGGTGTGCAATATTCATCAACTAGGTGATCCAAATTTATAAAAATATTTTGAAGAGATGCTCGAACTGCTGGGTCGCCTTTCCATGCTTTTCATATAAAATTACAATGATGATGTAAATTAATAAGTTAAATTATTTTTATTTTTAAACAAAAAAGGTAATAACGACAATAAAATAGCTTACCAGACACAATGATTTTTGCCAAGCCTTTTTGAAGTTTTTCAACATCTGGTGAAGCCTTTCCCCATGTGATTTTTTCTCTGTTACCAGCTAATACATGTTCTTTAATCTGCATTATATTCCATTTTTCGTATGGAATTTTTTCGAAAACAAGTTCCCAGAGTAACATACCAAAACTAAATATTATAATAT